TATTTGCATTTAGCCCAATTAGTCCGATTAAACAAAAAATTTCCAAGTGATTCAACGGTAAATTTAACATTTTAGGATCCGACTTTACTCGTTTTCCAATAAAGTTCATCATTCTCTAGCTGCCTACCAATTTTGGCAAACTCTGTGCTTCTTCCGCTTAATATTTACATATTTTTTCCTACAAACGGCATATGAGCGCTAAAATTTATTCATTCCTCTATCTATTCTGCGTCAGAAACATGTACTGAGCACCAACAAGCCTCATTTGTGTTCCGACTGTAATAGCTCCTTAATCACAGAATGACGAAGGAAGGAGGAGAAATGATTACGTTCACCACCAGGCAACCACTAAGAAAAAAAAAAAGCAAAAAATAGAAGAAAAAACAAAGATCAGCGTGATTACGACGAATAAAAATTACTTATTATTTAAAACTCAAATATTGCAGAACCCAAAGCACATACCGTTATCCCACAGTCCATATTTTGAATAATGCTTGGTTCGACTGTTATTTTTCGCTCGACCCCATCCTGGACGTTCTGAAAGACCAGACTCTTCACCTAAAACGGATTATCTTTGAAATCCTATGAAGCATACATACCTGGTGGAAACCGGCCGCTTTGTGTAGAATCACGTGGGGCACGCTTCTTCCAATCACTGCCACACCATCGTTCATTTTCTCGAGCGAAAAGTTGCTCGCTAGCGTCACCCATTTCGACCCCGCCAGAGCGCTGGAAAATAGTTACTGTCTACGATGATATAGACCCAAAAATTGCCCCAGTTCCCTTTTTTGTCACACTTATTTTTCTTATCACAACCGTTACGGTCGATGCATTCATATTACTCAGAACACACAAAAAATGAAAACTGACTGCATTTGTTGCATCTTTTCTTCCCTGTATGCTGTAGCTTGAGTCGGTCATCCGAGCGTCATTGAACGGTCCATCCGACCTGAAAATATCGAATAACTCACAGTAGGTAATGTATTTTGAGCGGACTAGATAGAAGATGATTTTAAATATTATGAGGCTCCACACTGACAGGAGACATCCACGTAAAATTTTTGATTTCTAACTTTTCCAATTCACGAATTAGAAAGATGTTAACACTTTCCTGCCTGAACTTTCCTGAGCCCGCAGGTGAGACATAAGGGCAAACAGAAGCTGAATTTAAACATTCAAGCTCACAGACGGGCAGGAAACATCCCCTTAAAACTCCAGAGAAATTTTCCCGCAAAAGCTACCACGTTTGTATACGTTTCAAATTAACTGGACCAGATATGGGGACGAAGCATCCGTCTAGCTGCCAAATCTGGATGCCAGGTTGGAAAATCCGAATCGATAGCAGAAATTTACACGTACAAACAAACAACAAGCTCCCAATAGTATATGTTTTGCACCGCTGCTGTTTAACGTAAAGCGTATGAAAATTAGCACAACAGCCTGATCCAGAACGACCAATAAAGCTTACTGAAAAAGCTGCGATTCGAATTTTGGCTTTGAACGATTTTGGGTTGTATGACCGCAACAAACACCACAGTATGCAGCACCCAAACGATCATAATTTGCTATTACGCCACCACAGTGACCGCAAGTTGCGCCTGGAGTGTTACTGAAAATACCACCAAAATTTGCTCCCGTTGCGCCAAACGGAGCATAAAGTGATGCTGCTGAAGCAGTCTGTGGCCACCAGTAGCCACATGCTGTTGTTGGTGTGGTCGTGCCATAATGCCCAAAAGTTGCTGTGTTTGCAGCGGCTGCTGCTGCTGCACAACTGCAGAAACTTGTCGTTGACGCTGTACCGGAGTGCGCAAAAGTTGCTGCTGCTGCCGCCGCTGCTGCTTGATAATTGTCATAATTCCATGCCAGCGCCTGAAGTTTTTTTTTAAGATATATTCCAGAAAATGTGTCTAATGGTACCCTACATTTTAGTAAGCTGATGTTACCTCAGTGTGCGTAACACTATCTCCACAGAGTACAGTGACCAGAACTGCTTCATCTGGCGATCTAATTATTACTAATCCTCGAAATCATTTACCTGCTTCTCTTGTTTTTCCCAAGATAAAAGAAAGCAGAGAAACGCCAACATGTATCAATAATACGTTTGCTGCATGAATGATCCTCAACTAACCTATTGCCATAAGCGGACCTATGCGGTAGTGACCCTCAACTGACCTACAGCCGTAGGCGGATCCGCGGGGAAGGGGCAAAAGACCCAATCCCCCTCCCCTCATGCGGGGTAACATTGTCTCTGTGCGGGGGGAGGGGCATGGGTGTTTCGCCCGCTCCCCCGTGGATTCGCCTATGGCTGTAGTTTAGTTGAGGGTCACTCATGCAGTAAACGTAGCACAGGTAGCAGTGCTAAAACTGTAGAAAACTCTCTTTCGCGTCTATCCACTTCCTTCCCTCCTTTTCTCTCAGAAAACCATCCTGTATCCGCCTCTGCCCACAGCAGTGTTCCCTTGCTTCTCCACAATCATTACCAATCATGAAAAGTGTGTACTAGTAAACATATAGGAGAATCGGAAGAACGAAAGTTCACGAGAAGACCAAGCCACCAACACTTTGCGAACTAGTAATTCTAAATTTCAGTCTAGGCGGATGAAAATTTAATCAACAGTAACAGCTGAAATGTTTGCATAAAAATTTCTAGTTACCAAGACAGCCCTTCATGCAACATGGATCAAAATGCACCGATTAAGCGCTCAGTGCAGCTTCCTGCACGAAAATTCAGTCAGAACAAAGGAATTACCAAGCAAAGTGAAGCAATTTTTGCATTAACAAGAGTATCCATTTTCTCGGTCACATTCACAATGTCCTGTTGTAGCGACGAAAACATGCTAAAATGAAGTACCACTGCAAACTTCATCGTTTGTAAGAACAAAATCTACTGAATCACGGCAAATTTCTTGTTCTACACGAAACAAAACATATTTCAAATTTGACACTTACTAGTTATTTTTACCGTTCCCAGTCAAATCAGCATTTTAAATACGATATCCACTGGGCTTAAAGACACGGCTCTACCCGCTAGAAAGGCTAATCCGTTAAATTCTTCCACTGGTCCAGGTCATTTTAGCACCTAAAGGACAGAAGTACCATCATCCCTCCGATAGCATAATTTAATAAAAATAAATTAGGGGATTCCCATTCTAATTTAACTGAACAATGGTTCGTGTTGGACATCGCCCAGGGCTAGAATGGACAAACACCTATATTCCAATCTTCAATGCACCTAATGTTCTGTCGACAAATCTCGCTCGCTTCATTCCCTACAGTCTAAATCCTCACAGATATTCTTATTATTTGCTGCCATGAAAATATCAATTTTGATAGCGTGCCCTGCTAACACAGCTTCCAAGCAAAAAAAATAAAATGTCCGAAAAAATTTGCGACCCCGGCGAATCAGAAGAGGCTTCAGTGTTGCTGTTGTTGTTGTTGTTGTTGCTGTTCGGCCAAATTCGATCGTAACAAGGAGTGGGGCCTTCTCCGGCCATTTCACGGCTCACATTTGCATTTTCTGGCACCTCACTGCTCGGTCCATAATCAGTGTTCGACCTCGGTTCATTGTATGGCTTTGATCGCTGCTTCCACGGCAACATAACATCTCCTTCGAAACAACCTTGCCTATTTCGGTAGGTCAATTGTACCATATAAACTTCTTCGTTGAAAAGCTGGAATTAGTGCATAAAGCATCAACATTTTTTCTTCCTCAAAAATAACTGTTCTTACAAAAATGGGCAATTTCTCCAAAGATACAGCGCACTTTAGCTGCCATATTTTTCACTACAACGTTACAAGAAACTTAGTAATTTCGCAGTTAACACTTCTAATTTTCATCAGCCGCGACGCAAGGCATTTAACTGTGATATAGCAGTGAAAAAAAAATAGATATTTTTTGCAGCAACATAGCGGGCAACAATCCTGACACAGCAGCAACAGGCATGTGTATGCGTCCTAGTAACATTAGCAGCATCGAACATCTGGTGCCCGGAAACACCAATAATTCCCATTTCTTAAATTCTACGATCCCTCATACACTCAGTTAAAAGTTTACTCGTCGTAAGTATAACTGATGCAAAGAACTTACCTTTAAAGTTTTCGATTCATTCCTTCGCGGCGAAACCTGGTTCACAAGACATTTGAATGCAGCGGAGGGAGATTTCAAGACTGTCGTTGGCTAAATATGCTGTTATAAGAGAGAGAAGAAAAATGAAAAATTTCACATTATGTGTTTCTTAACTTCATCAAACTCTCACTGTTGCCTATACCAGTATCCCAAAAGTTTCGCTATTACCCAATCACTTTTTTTTACACCTCCCGAGAAAGATTTCTGCAGGAAAGGACAAAATCACAGAGATTGTTATTAATGAACTAGGCATCAATCTGCTATGGAAACACTGTATAAACTTTTTCAAGTCGGAATAACCACTCCCCTAACAGAAAAACTGAAACTGAAAGGAAAAATAATTAAAAGCAACCTGTTCGTTGCAAGAGTATAGGTTTTCCACGCTGCATGTAACTGACTGACCAAAATCGACGAGGTACACCGAGCATGTGCCGGTCGTCTTGTCGAACCCACTAGCAATCGCTCTGGAATAAGAAACCGCATATACTGTAAAAACAGGCTAAAATTTGCCAGAAGCCCAAAAATTTGAACCATCTCAATATAGCTAGAAAAAACTGCTGCTTTGTAAATTACCGCTTCAATAGCTTAGTTTTGGAGTTAGCAGCTCTATCAGGCTTAACATAACTAGGAATGCATTACAAGTGGCGCATTACTACCACTTCATGGCTTTTCGTCTTCATTTTTTCAGAGAGAAGTATCAAACACGCCCTACTTCAACTGCCTCTCCAGCAGCCCTTCAGTAATCAGTGTCCTTCTCATCCTCTCGGTACAAAAACAGTGCCACTTGTCGTGTGAAATTTTCTTCTGGCTATTAAATACCGGAAACGAACTCAGAACGGAAACGAATATCTTCAAATTATCTTCAAACAAAAGCTTACCGGTAGACACAAAAGCGATCGAGTACGTGCTTCGAGCGAAACGGTCTTGCCAGGCGCACTATGCAGCTCACTTCACCTTTGTAACTGTTATTTGCCAAAGGTTCCACCGGATTCACCATGCTCTGACAGAGGAGATCGTAAAACAGGAACAGAGTTTTCGCTTTTTTATTAAAATCTCAACAAACTCTCACTTCGTTTTCTGCATAACATTATTTAATCAGTTACCTCGAAGACGTTCGATAAAATTTCTAAATCTCGCATCCAGTACATATCGTATCGGATTCGTTCCGTCACAATCGCTTTCACCTGACACGGTACAACGGCACTAAACTGCTTGAATTGAAAATCTTTTAGTTCAACTGATGAACCATCGCCATTTGCCTGCACGTCCTGAAAAGTGATAATCATCGAATCATAATCATTAACTCAGAAACCATGTTAATAACTAGACAACTGCACAATTAGGATGATTCGCTGTTTTCCATCTTAAATGTATTTTACGTCTCGTATATTTTTCCTCACACAATAACAAACTCCGATTTTGTGATGATCAGCAAAGTGAACAAATGATTTGCAGAATTTTTAGCCAGTATTACAGTGATTATAACGTAACGCAGTCTTGATCAAGGAAAAGCCAGCAGCTGCTTTGAAGGTGTGAAAAAAAAAAACAGAAGAGATGGTCAGAGTACGGGAATTAGTAAAATATAAAAGCCATACCAATTTTACACTATAAAACGCGCGAGCCAAAGCAAAATTTGCAGTTGCAAAAATCTTATACAGAAACTTCTGGAGATTTGCGGGATCCTTACAACTCTCATACGGGCTTGAGCATTCTAAAAATGCATACCTAACCATAGGCAGATCCAGTGTGGCCTCCTAAGAGAGCGGGGGGAGGGAGAGAGGGAGTGGACGAGCAAGGGGGCGAAGGGAGGAAGGGTCGGTCCTGGGCAAGGAGGGGGGTGGGTGGGACGGAGATCGCGGGTGCGGAAGAGAGTTTTCTATGGTTTTAGCACTGATACCTGTGTCGCTGGGGAGGCGAAAGACGCATAGCCCTTCCTTCCCTTGGATCCACCTATGCACCTAATTATTTGTCTTTTGCAGAACTACTGACAGTAGCCTAAAAATTTACCAGACTCGGTTGCGAGTATAAAAAATTATTGGATCAAATGCAAGCTAAGAACCATAAATTTACACCTATGGGCCTGCGCAGTAACAACTGCGAGCCAAACAGATAACTTAAGATTTGGAGGCTGAGGTAAAAGGGCCAGTAATTTGTAAAGGAACGAACATTCAAAGACTGAGATGGTTCCTGAAATGCATTCGCTGTTTCTTCCTCAAACTGTTGTCCACATATTTCTGGAGCCATCAAACTATTGTGGAAAGCCATATGTTCGGCGAATAGCTGCTCGATAGCAGCAGCCACCATATTGTGCCTCTGTAAGCAGCGGAACTTTTAAAATACAAAAAAAGACATTTCTAATAAACATTAGACTACTACAATGGTCCCAACAACTGGCATCGGAATGCTCCCGTGCACCGAATACAGCTAAGCCAGGTCCTTCGATCTTAAGCTTCATGCCACCAGCTAGTGCCCTTCATCGTCCATTGTGCGCGCCATCTTTTCAAAGGTCTACCGGTGATCAGCAAAACGAGCAGCATGCACTTGCCTATTAAATTTTACTTTTTAGCGAGTGACCGCACTGACAAAATGGTATTTGTGTGATACAGAGACTGACTGCGCAGAAACTTAACAGCTTCCTCTCCATGTCCACCCTTCTGCTTTTATTATCTTTTTCGTCTCTTAGCTTTAAAATTTTCCACTAAAAAAATCATAATACATTAGAGTTCAAGCCAGCAGTAAATGTTCGTTAATGTGGCTTTCTTACTGTTATTGCTGGGCATGGCAGGAGCACAAATATACACAATTTTGAGTGTTTTATTGGAATTTAGTGTAAGGAGGAGTTAAGCCAATTCCACTGACCGGAGGTGGTTTGCGGGACCACATCCTACTGATCATGCAATCGACTCCACAGCATTTTTGTACCCTTCTCCCCTGCAAAACACAACATTTTATCGCTCTTCCAAGTTACAATCCATTCTAGCCCTCTTTTCTTTCCACACACACGACCAGGCGTCACATGAAGCTCTGTCGACTGCCCGGAACAGAAATGGATGTGATTTCATTGCCGATATACCGTTATAGGTGGATCTAAAACTCCTGGAATCCCCGCTTAGCTTGCTGTTAGCTTTTTCGGTTGTCGAACCATCGCTGTCGCAGGCTGGCTCGAAGAGCAAGCCATGATCCTTTGTGCATTTCTTCATTTTATGCCGCATTTTATGCAGTTTGCTGCATTTTTGCATCTGTCGCACAGCAGCATGACCCACTCTACCACTCACAGCTATTACTCAGTGCTCAGTTCAGCCTTTTCGGCTTGCTTGAAACTATTTCCATAGTGACACTGCCTAGTCCGTTGCCACTTTCAAACAAGTTGCCTCGGCCGTAATTTGTCACAGGAAAACAATCACGTATGCTTTCCAGACCTTGTGCAACGCGGGTTGAACAGATGCTGCACAATAAGCATATCTTACAAAACCAGAATGATCTAGTAAATCAAATATTCAAATATTATCCATTTTAATTCAGAAACTGCATAAAAGATTACAACTGCCAAGCTGTGATCGATTTCTCTCAAATTTAGCCAGAATTTTTGCGAGGAAAAAAAAGCTTACTTCACTGAACACGACTTCGACGTATTTGTTTTTCTCGCCTGTGAGCTTGTAAAGCTGAATAAATAGGACTGGTGGCATGGTACTTGTCGGATGATCCATGAAAAATGGCGGAAGCATCTTGTCTGAGAAAAAATTTGCATATTTTTTGTAGCTGTAGTTTTAAAAATAAGCTGCGAGTTTCATGCACTTACAAATTTTGCACAAATAGGTGCTTTCAATGTCCAACATAGAAAGCTCGATCACTTCCTCACTTGTGGCACCGGTAGGCAGCAAACCACAGAAACAAAGCGGAGGAATTGGCTGTAGCTGTGCGGGCAGTCCGCAGATATTCTCTTTGTCCACAAATCTTGTCTGTCCTATATCGATCCCATAAAGCTGTAAAACGGTTTATTTCGACGGAAAATATGCAAACGAAGATAAAATCACTGAGTAGCTGAATTAGTTCACGATACATTGAGAATACTTAGGTTGATAAATTACCAGGCTTTTGTCCAATGGCTGACCAATCAGCGCCCCACGAAATACTTCGTCGCCATCTGATGCCAGGTAAATCTTTTCTAAACGCACCATCAGTTTTAATCTCAAAAAAAGTTTTTACATGAGACGAATTATCTGAATATCAGCGATAGATTACAGGAAAGTTGGGGAGAAGGGATACATAATGCTCAAATCGTCATGCCTTGCGCAAATTCGTCTTGGTGAACGATGGCGTTATGTAACAGCTGTAACAAAGTGGGAGAAATAGGACTGGAAATCCAATATTTCTTATTATATATAATAATTATATTAAAATACTAATTATATAAAAAACTGTTGTGCAGCATTAATAGCCTGTAATGTCTGAAGGAACTGTTGCGCGCAGGCCATCAAAACCTGTCCATCTTCCAGAAAAGGCCAGTCGACCATGGTGCCTAGTGGTTGATCCAGGCTTGACCACGACCCTTTCGAGAGGTTAACGATTGGCCAAAAGGAAGCCGCGATCCGCGCAGGACGTGTAATCCCGGTGTGTGCCCACCGAAGAATAATATCCCAAGCATTCTTCAGTCGATCGCTTTCGTCGATACAAAACGCGCACAAAAAACTGCCGGAACAAATCATAAAGATGGTACCTTCGTTCAAAAATTCGATGTCGATGGGCACAGCCCATTTTGGTGACCAGCTGGCGAGTTGCGCTTGCAATTCATGAAAGAGATTTTCCTCTTCCACAGGTCGCACGAAGACACATCCAGCGGCATTGTCGACTCGCAAAATACGCACCTCGAAGCAATTGTCCAACGGCAGAATCAAGCTTACTGGCGGATTCTTCGTCCGTGCCATCAAACGAACTTCAATTACAGCTTATTTTTTTAGCTTCAAACCTACTGATTATCGCATAGCTTTTATGAGCAACCGACCAATGATAAAGTCATCAAACTTGCCCAAATCAGAGGCGAAATTTCATAACAAGAAACCTCCGAAAATTCAAATCTTTTAGCAGCTAACGAGCTAATACTGCAAAAAAAAAAAAAAAAAAGAAAAAAGATTCGCGTTAAATCCGGTAAAAGCACGCCAAACGGTACCGGCGACAATGAAATGCTCTCATGCAGATGTCCTCCGCTGAAAATTTCAAATCCGAAGAGGGAGGGGGATGAGGGACAATTCGCTGTTGAAAGTTTCAGTCTTGAGCTGTCACAATTCCCCCCGTCCATAGGTGGATCCAGGACGGTCCAAAGGACGGACGGCGGGAGGAGTCAGGTAAAGACCCCTTCCACTCTCGAACCATGCAAAAAATTAGGAAAAGAGCTGTAATACCGCTACTTAGAGTTACTTTGGTTTGATTTATGAACAGACCCGAGCTTTTGCAACACTGGTGTCCATTCCGCTGAGCGGGAAGGAGAAGAGGGTGGCGGGAAGGACGAAAGACTCTTCGTCCCTTTGGATCCACCTATGCCCCCATCCTGTCTCGACCTTGACACCCCAACATCAAGAAGGTGAAATTCCGTAGGAGGGCGTTTTATTAAAGAAATCTGTCCCCCCTCCCCACCCTTTTTCCTTGAAAACAACAATGTGTTAGTAGCTGAAGCAAAAATCAACCTGTTAAACCATCACGACGGAACCACAGCGACTTTCCATCGCTATCCTCATCCGTCCAACTCTCAGTGTTTCGCGCTGGCGTGGATACCACTCCGTCCATCTGGAACATAGCAATTACCTGATTCTTCCACGCAACTTTAAAGCGCGCGCTTACAGCATCCCCTCTCCCCTCCTTGCAGTGAGACTCACGTTGTAAGTTTCATGGCCCGACAGCCACAGGGGGATTCAGAACGGCCTCCTGGGAAGGGGAACGACAAGTAAGGGAGAAGGGGGAGAGAGGAGTGGGATTTCTAGCATAGCAGTGATGACCGGGGAAGAAAGTTTTCCCCCAATCCATTATTCCAATCAGATCCCAACTGTACGGGGAAGAAGGGGAAGGGAGAGGAGTGAGGCTTCTGGGGGAGGGCGACGGGAAGTGCGGAAGAGAGTTTTTTTCAGTTTTATTTTTAGACCCGGACTTTTGTAGTAATGGTGCCTATGCTGCTGGAGGGACGAAAGACTCATCCCCCTCCCCTTCCCCTGCTTCCTGGATCCGTCTGTGCCGAAAGCTCAAGATCGAGGGGCCTGGAATAGCTGTGTAGGGCATGCAGATGTATTCCTGGGAAAATCATAAACACCGGAACCCTACAGTAATTTTTTGGTTAGCCTAGAAACGTGGTGAATCAATTGTGTAACAAATAGAAGTACCCAAACGGCAAGTGCTTATCTCCGATTTCCAGGCATGTGCCTTTCGTCTGGTTTCCGCTAAGAATTACCGCATAGGATTTGAATTTCGCGTTTCGTGATATAGCAAGACTAGTTGGTACTTTACTGTTGACAGACCTATATTTAAGTGCCGTCCATGAGGAACCTTCCCCAGCCGAAACAACCACTTCAACTCTGTCCGCGTAGAATTTTTGTCAGATAGTCGCACTCGAAAGCATTAAAGCACATGGGGACCCTTTTCACAAGGCCATAAATAAGTGCCGTTCACGTGGAATTCCCTCTTCATCGAGCCATCTTCTAAGTCTGCCCACGTAAAAACTTTCTTCAGAGAGCCACATTCAACAGCTGTTCTCGTGGAACTCTCCCCCACTGAAGCCCCTGGGAAACTCACCCGCTAGTCCGCCACAGTCGCTAGGTGAATTTGTACAGGCTCGCTTATCTGGGTATCTGAATTAACACTCACTGCTTTCCCACAACTGACAATATTCGACTGTGTCCCTTTCATCGGCTGGCCTACAGTGC